ACAGAAATGAATTTGGTTAGGCACCCACCAGATGTCCACTGCAAAACTGACTGATGGGGAGGGGGTAGAAATCCTCATGTCTTTGGGGACCATAGAAATCTTCTGTATTTACTATAGTCAGATTAAAGGAAAAATAAGCAGTTTGTTTTTGCCAACACACCTGGCAAGGGATCAGGCCAGGGTACTTGCATGGCAGCTCCTGAAAGCTTTCCACAAACTTGAAACTTATGGGGATATCTGAGCTGTGCATGTTCACATGGGTAAGGTTTGTTTTGGACAGATGTGTCTTAACAAAGGCCTTTCTCCAGGGTCATTATATTAAGTAAGGAGACTGCATATTCCCTGTATGTCTAAGAACTTCAGCTGGGAACTTTTCCACATTTACTAAACTCATAAGGCCTTACTGCTGTGTGCTGGTGCCGAATGAAATTAGAACTCTGGCTGAAGCCTTTGCTAATTCACTGTGCTCAAAAATTTTATCTGAGTGAATATTTTGTTCTAAATCAGAACATGTTTGAAGGCTTTACTACATTCATGGGACTTGCTATTTCTTTCTCCATCATGGATTTGCTTCTGCTGGTGCTGAAGGATTTCCCACATTAGCTGTAGACATGCTTTCAGGCAACTCAAGATAATTTGAATTGAAAGTTTATCCACATTTTCTGTACATCACGAGGACTTTCTCTAGTGTGAACTCTTCAGTGCTGGATATGCAAGGTACTTTGGTTAAAAATCCCCACATTCCTTACATGCATAAGGTCTTTTTTTCCAGTGTGAATGCTGTGATGTTGAATGGGACCAAAGCTTTGGTAAAAGAATTTCCACACTCTGAAGGTCTTACTCTGGTGTGTACTTTCTGATATTTGATGAGGCTGGAGCTTTACTTAAAGGATTTCTCCTTCTCACTGCATGAATAAGGCCTTTCTCCAGTGTGAATTCTTTGGTTTATAATAAGGCTGGAGCTTTGAATTAAGAATTTTCCACTTTTGTTGCATTTACAAGGCCTTATCCCACTGTAAACTCCCTGGTGTCAAATGAGTCTCAAGTTGCAGTTGAAGCGCTTTGTATACTTGCTGCATTCATGAGGTCTTTCTGCAGTGTGAACTCTTGTTTCTAAATCAAGCTGGAGCCTTAGCTATGTAATTTCCCACCATTTCAGTGGACTACTAAGACTTTTCAGCAGTATGAATTCACTGATGAGTAGCAAGTATGTATTTTTAGCTGAAGGCTTTTCCACATTCATGGAACTTCAAAGTCCCTTCTCCAGTTTGGCCCCTTGGGTGTTATAAAGTAAGGGTTTATAGTTGATGGCTTTCACATATTTGTCACTCATAAAATCCTTGTCCACTGTGGATTTGCTGGTGCTGAACAAACTGTTTGCAATTGAAGGCTCTCTGCATTCACTGCACTTGAACAGTTTTTTTTCACTGTGAATGGCTGCTTTCCTCAGCCACTTTGTGTAGCTTCTGTTTTAAGTGGCTTGGTTCGGGCCAGGATGCTTTGTGTGGCTTCTGTTGTAAGTGGCCTGGTTCTAGAGAAGACCTGAAATGATCAAGACATATTTCCCAATGTCCCCTCAGGTCAAGGATGTCCCTGGTACATGGAATCTGTAGCTCTTTACAAATAAGAACTTACCCACACACCTTCTGAAGAGTTTCTCTTTGCTGTGATATAGTTGCTGAAGGATATTAAATAATTGTTTTCCACAGGCCCCATAAGCATATGGTGTCTGCCTTGTATGTGTTTCCCTGTCTTTCAAGGCCAAGGCACATATCCTACAGGGGTAGGCTTTCTAGGCAAAGGGACCTTCTTTGGGAGTTCTGACCTGTGACACTTCCTCTATAGAAACATTCTGCTCAGAAGGTGGTTCCTCATCTTTCAATCCATGCCTGTGACCTGAAAGTGAAGAAATGCCAATGAAGTGCATGTTGAGTTTGGTGAGAAGGGGCAAAAAATGTGATTTGAACACCAATGAATGAGTCTATGTAAGTTCATAGGACTGTTTTCACAGTTCAGGTGGAGAAATCAGCTGCTGTCCAGTAATGACCTTCTAAAGGTCACAGCATGACCTTTAGAAAGCCTTCTAAAGCCTCATCAGGCAAAGGACACAAGGATGGGGTGCAGCACAAGAGAGGTAGGGCCTGAAATTCTCTCTCTGCTAATGGTTTTTAGCACCTCTTATTTGCTGGTGACATTCACCCTTGGGCTGTGCAGAAGGGTGAATCTAGTTCCCCAAAAGTCCTGTTCCAATAGGGTAATTCACAATCAGAGGCTATCTAATGATATGTGCACATGGGGCCAATGTTGGAGAATAGAGGTAGTAGATAGGAATAGCTAAGATGTGGAACCCATAGATTTTGGAAGTATCCTTGGGCCAAAAGAGGAGAAGTAACAATCTGGCAAAATGTCAAGAAAGGAAAAAGAAAGATAGAAATGAGGTGTGGGCACTGATACTGGCACCAAAATAGTAGTGGAAAGTTTGAACACTACTAGGATGGGATGATTTGAACACAGACCCAATGATATGTCCTATAATCTGCTACTCAGCAGGGCCAGGGCTTCTCTGAACTCATTTGGTATATCTAGAATTATGTTCACTCTGAGAAAGACTCAGCTTTTCCTTCCACCCCACCCCCAGTTGAGCACTGTACCTATATGGTACAAATCCCATGGAACGATTGGTCAGATAAGTGTCCATAGTGACTCAGAGCAACAGACCACAAGGAAGAAAACCAAATATTACAAAAAGAACCACAGAGGATGATATAATAGTGATCCCATCAATGACTGAAATTCCTGGTACAGGAAGACACAGGAATATATCAGCCACAGGAAGGGAGCAGAATTGGTGGCATTGAGGTCACCTGGTCAGGAACAAGGAAAGGTGGGATCTCAGTCTTGTGAGACTCCTGATCCCCTTCTTTGTAAGGCTTTGGGGCAACAGGTATTGGGACTGCTTGGGAAGAAGATAGGGTAGTGCAATAGCTCAGCCCTATAAACAGTGAAACTACCCAGAAAACTGGAGAGGGAAGTAGTGTGAAAAGGATGACTCTGCCCCTGGGGGAAAAGAAGGAGCCTATCCCAAGGCATTGGGTGAGTGTGATAACCTTACCCAGAGAGACCATAAGTGCACAGTTCTCCAGCATCACATCACAGTATAGGAGTTTCTGAGCCTCATCAAGGAGACACCATTCTTCCCAGGAGAAGTACACAGCCACATCCTCAAAAGTCGTATCGTTCTGCCATGATTGGAACAGATGAAACCATGAACAACTTCTCTTCTGAGGTTCCCCAATTCCCCTTTCTAAATGTCCACCTCATGCTCATGCTCCCTTCAACTTCCACAACTTAAGAGGAGATATCAGACCCTAGTGCCAGTTGTACTCTTCTGTCTCATAGCCCCATTAGTCACTGTGCCTAGCCCTCAGCAACAACAAGCAGGTGGGCAGACAGCTGTCGTTTAATTTCTGGGCTGTCAGGCAGGGCTTCACCCACGATGACCAGGAAGTGACTGGGAAGTCCTACAGATGGTATCTCCAAACACAACCAAACTTGGGCTTATCCTTTATCTTTAATTCTCTAATAATAAGGCTTTGGGAAGTTCAGTTCATACCCCCCTCCATGCGCACATCAGTCTTTTGACTGTATGTCTCTCATAACTCCAGTTCCCACTGTTACTATTTCCCTGACCCATGCTGTAGATCTCTCCCTGGCCTTATCAAGTGTTACTTATCACATCATTCAGAGAGTACCTAGAAAATCTGGTCAGGCCCTGGTACTACCCCAGACCTCCAATGGTTCTACTGACAGGACAACTCTAAATCCTACTATGAAGACCTGACTTCTGGCTCTGTTTCTTGCATTAACCTGAACTATCTAGAATGATATTCAGACTTCAGATCCAAACCCCAGACCTGCCTGTCTAGTGACTATACCAGATGACCATGTTTGCCCTTGAATTAAACCAGCAGCTTGAGTAAAAAACTCCAGGGTCATCCACAAGTCTTGATGAGTCCATAAAGCTGTGGACAAGCCCCAGCCTCAGTATCATCTTCCCCGCATTATGCCTATACTTCTAAATCCATATGAATGTCGAATATTCCCTTAGAAACCTTGATTACCTGCCAGGCTATCCTTTCCCCACACCCACCCTTCATGGTCATTTCTCTCCCTCAGTTGTGCTTGTGAGGCCTACCATTCTCAACCAGGTGCCCAAGCAAGAGATCCAAGCCACCACCCTCCCCTTCTTGGGTCAACTTATAGTATTACCACCATGAACTGAAGATTCTTCCTCCAAATGTGATCCAAAGTCTCACCTCAGTCCACAAAATGTCCATTACCCTTTAGATGTCTCTACCCTGAACCACTATCAAGTGTTTCAGACCTTTGTGTCCAGCTGCCCACTTGACACCTTTCCTCTCATCTCTGGAATATCTCAAACTCTTAAGATGGCCAAAATAAAACTGCATGCCCTTCAAAATTATTTCTACTACCTATTTCCCCTTGCTTCTTTCATAAACCTTGGGGTAATCTCTGATCTCTTTTATTCTCTCATCCTCAACATTAGAAAATCTAACAGTCAAACCTACTTAGAAACCAGATCCAGAATCCAACTACTTTTCCCATTTCCAGATGTCACCAACAGTCACCTGTAATCTGCAGCAGCCTTATCCCTGGCTTCTCCTCCTTTAATCCTCAAGTCTATTCTCCAGCCACAGGGAGCCTTCTAGGACCTGGGTCACATCACATCATTGCTTGTATGCCTCTGTTCCTATTATTTCTAGAAAAAAAACACCCAACTTCTCTGTCATTCTAGGTCTGACTCCTATCCTCCTGTTCACCAGAAGGAAAGGAGACTGTGGCTGAACACTCATGAGTCACTGTCACCTTCAAGCATCTGTATCTGCTGATAACTGTGTGGGACAACCTTCCACACTTCCTTCCATTGTGCTAGACATAGAAACTGTTCCATATAAACCCCCTGTTCCAGGACCCTGGGCTTAACATTTTTCAGGAGTCCCTAGGCACAAGGACAAGGAGAGTGGCAAGCATAGGCCCAAGGTACCACACTCCCATAAAAGATATGTGTGTGTGTGTGTGTGTGTGTGCGTGCGCGCGCGTGCATGCGCATGTGTGTGCAGGGGGAGTTGGGGTGAATAAGGGCCAACTCACTTGTGTAGTGTCCATAAGCACTTCCATGGGTACTGGAACCTGTGGGAAGAGAGAGACCATAAGAAGCAGGCAAAATATAAGGGCTCAGGCCTTCAATGTATCTCTGCCCAGTTCTGGATCTGTTAGGCTAACTTTATTTTCCCTGCATCTCAGTCCTCAGTAATACCTCTTCTTTGTGACTTTGATCAACTCAATCTCCTTGTGTTACTATTGTCCTCACTCTTCTTCCAGACTCCTTCCTTTAAGTAGTTTTTGGAAAACTTTAAAACTCCTAACTCAGATGGTGTTTGTCCTTTGTTCCCATCTCTCTATGGCTCCAAACACCACTGGCATGAAGATACACCTCCTTGCTTGCCATTCCAGCTGTGACTTGACTTCTCTTCATACTCTGTTCCGCATAGACACAACATGAGCCCAAGGTTTTCCAAAAGCTCCTGGCTCAGCTGCTCCTCCAAGCCTTTGCACATACTGACTCATCTTTCTATATCACTCTTCACACTGGCTTTCAGAAATGGGTCATATCCCAAGACACTCCCAGCTACCACATGGTGCTGGACACTAGGGCCTAGGCTTCAGTGACCYGAACAGTCAGTCTACCATATTTAGAGCTTTAAAATACAAAAGGAGGTGGAAGTGGGTGACGGTCCAAAGGAACCAGTACCAACCCATGCCAGGGCCAACAGCAATGCCTCTACAATCTGGGCCCATGGTGGGTTGATGCCCACAAATGTGGTTGACCAGGCCTCTAGCCCTGCCCTGCCCTGACTGAGGTCACCGTGGGCAGCTTCTCAGAACCTCTAACTCACCTTTGTGCAAYAGGAATGTTTCCTCTCTAATTTTCTGCCGCTGCCTTACCGTTACCAGTGCTCGGGCACTTATGATCACGTGAACCAGCCTCAAAGCGACTGCCAAAAAAAGCAAAACCGGAAGTCCCACCCCTATTTTTCAGCAGCCAAAAATCAGACTGCTTTTTCTTGTCTTTTCATTGGATGAACGCTACTTCACTCCCAGGGCAGAGCATTCTGGGTAAGAGCCATGTAATTCCCACGACTACACCTACAGGTGGTGAAGGGGTACTGCACCCTAGAGACCTGAAGGATCCAGATTTCTGGACAGTGTTTATCACYGAAAGTGTTGAACACGAGTTCAGACTTCATCAAGCTCAGCATGCTTGCAGACTAAACATTATTTTTGTTGCTCCCAAAGGCTAAAAACCCAAATGGGATGATCATTCATAAAAAATCCAAATGGAGTGATTATTTTATTATATCACTGACACAGAAAGTGTGCCTGATTATAGCTGGAAACTGATAAACATTAACTTCTTGCTTTTCAAATGATTGTAGGCTGAACAGTGAATTTCTGTATGTTGGGTCAGGGATGAAAGGAAAAATCTCCAAAAAGACCCATGAAAGAGAAGACAGAAGAGGAATGTTGGGTTGTTCTGAAGCAAGTGACAAGGGTGACACTCAGCTTATTTGTATCTGACATTCAGAATATTTGTATCTGACCCAGTGAACAACACTATTTTTATCTATGAAGTATTTTTTTTCTTCTATATGCTGAGAGATTCAATTCCTTTTGGAAGTGTGACACCTAAATCAAACTGAGTTGTTGTGGTGTGAACTGATAAATACAATCAATAAAAGTATACRTTATAGGCTAAAGATTAGCAAAAAATATAGATTATAGATATAAGATTTTGATAAGTGAGATAAGAAAATTATAAATCAAGAACTGTCATAATCAGGCTAAGACTCCATTTTGCTGCCTTCTATAAAAAACTGTTACAAGAGCTGTTTCTGAGAAACTGAAAACTGTCTTCTTATAAAAATTGTCTTTTTGTGCTTTGTGCCCCACAAATTGTACCCTACTCAGGATGCAGTGGTGGTCATAGTGAGCTATATCCTGGGTGTGAGTGCCTTTGTAGGGCTACATGACTTGAAAGTAGATTCTTACCCCGCCGACCCACACCCAAATTCAGGATGTGACTGTCTAGCACCTGCTTAAACCCAGGACTGTGGTCAACTGAAATGCAAAGCTAATGCTTTTTTTTTTTTTTTTTTTGCTTCTGTTTATCACTTGCTTGCTGACAGGAAAATTCCAGTCCTGCCAAGAGCCCACAGGTCCCACYTATTAATGTTTTAATTTCTATGATTGACTAGCTTACATGATGATAAGCAAGTCACTGAGTTTGGGGTTGGGTTTTGTGCTTATATTCTTTTTGGATAGACCAGGAAGCTGCTCTCCTCCCATAGAGCTTGAGTCTCTGTGGTGGGTCACAATCCCTGGCCAGGTAAATAAAGCTATCTTTTGATTTTTTTTCTTCTTTTTTTTTTATTGATTGTTCCAAACATTACAGAGCTCTTGATAAATCATTTTTCATACATTTGACTCTATTGGGTTTTGAACTCCCATTATCTTTTGATTTGAATTCAGACTTGGAGTGCTTTCTGAGGCGTCTCCTCATAACAGAATGACTTCCCAAAAGCTATCTAAGGATGGGACAGTAGTTGAAGTGTTCACAGTTAGAGCATGTGTGCAAAGGGAGTACATAAACCCTGAGATAAATGTTTGAGACGTATATATTAATAATTGTTATGTCTTGTTGGTGTATGGTTCCCTTGAGCAGTATGTGGTGTCTTTCTTTATCCCTTTTGATTAACTTTGGCTTGAAGTCTACTTTATTTTATATGAGTATGATACCCCTGCTTGCTTCCGAGGTCCATGTGAGTGGTATGACTTTTCCCAACATTTCACCTTCAGTCTGTKTATGTCTTTTCCTATTAGATGAGTCTCCTGTAGGCAGCATATTGTTGGATCTGTTTTTTAAATCCAGTCTACTAGTCTATGTCTTTTGATTGGTGAGTTTAAGCCATTAACATTTAGGGTTACTATCGAGATATGGCTTGTATTTCCAGCCATATTTGTTTATTTTTGTTATTTAACTTGACTTGATTTTCCTCTTTGATTAGTTTTTCCTTTAGTGTACTACCTCCCACTATTGGTTTTCATTGTTATTTTTCATTTCCTCTTCATGAAATGTTTTGCCAAGGATGTTTTGAAGTGCCGGTTTTCTAGCTGCAAATTCTTTTAACTTTTATTTTGTCTGATGTTCTATCTTCTAAGTGGTCTACTCTGCTTGTGATACTCTCATTTGAGTTTTTAAAATTTGGTTTATCATTTCTTTCATTTCTAGGATTTCTGTTTGGTTGTTTTGTATCAYCTCTATCTCCCTGTAGAGTTCATCTTTTCTTCTTGGATTTGTTTATGTAATTCATTGTCAAAGTGAGCTTTCATTGTCTGCATTTGTTGTCTAATGTCTTCCTTGAGACTCCAGAACATCTAAACTATGTATATCCTGAAATCTTTACCTGACATTCCTTCTGCTGTAGATGTTACTTTTTTTTTTTTTTTTTTTTTTTTTAGAGAGAGAATTTTTAATATTTATTTTTTAGTTCTGGGCGGACACAACATCTTTGTTGGTATGTGGTGCTGAGGATCGAACCCGGGCCGCACGCATGCCAGGCAAGCGCGCTACCGCTTGAGCCACATCCCCAGCCCAGATGTTACCTCTTCTAATGTTGTATTGTCTTGTATTGTTTGTGGTCCTTTCTTTCCTTGTCTTTTCATGTTGCTCACGTTTCTTTCCAGCTTTGTGTGACTGTTTTGTTATTGTTTTCCCCCTAGAATGTAATGCATTCCACTATTGTCATGTATGCAATAAATAAATAAATAAAAGGTTTGAGACAAGAGGAAAGTTGTTAGAGTCTGGATCTGAAATGTCCCTCAAAGGCTCATGTGTTGAATGTTTGGTTCCTAGATAATGGTACTATTGGGGGGGGGTGTGGAAACTTTAAAAAGTGGGGCCTAGTTGGAATAGGTGGGTCACTGTGGCTGTGACATTGAAGGGTATATTTTGTCTCTGCCCCTTCCCTCTGCCCCCTCTGTCTTTCTTTGCTTCCTGGCTGCTGGGAGGTGAACAATCTCCTCTGCCACAAGCTTCTGCCACCATGATGTTCTTCCTCATCTCAGTACAAAAGCAATGGATCCAGTCAACTGTGGACTGAAACCTCTGAAACTATGGGAAAAAATAAATCTTTCTTCCTTTAAGCTGAATTTCTCAGGCCATGTCATAAGTCCCTGAGGGGCCAATGCATGAAACTCTGAGTGACACCAAAACTGCAATGGAGACCCTGGGAGTTAAAGATGGCAGGAGCGTGGAATGCCTGCCAAGGAAAGCTGAAGGCAAGGAGCAAAGCCAACCCAAGACAATGGCCACGTGGGCTTCAGTGGGCAAGTTTTCGGCAGTGCTGTCCAAGCACTCTGGAGCTCACATCATGCCACCATGTGCCCACATGCCAGACGTAGAGCTGTAGGATTTAATGTTTGCCCTGCTGAGTTTTGGTCTTGCTTTGGTCCAGTCCTTCCTTGGTATTCTCTTATTCCTTCCTTTGGGAACAGGAATGTTTATCTTGTGCCACTGTGTGTTGGCTGTAAAATTAAGATAATACACTAGGTGACAGGAAGTTGGGAAATCAGCTCAATGTTCAAAAACCATGTAGTCAGCAGAGATATTGGAAGTCAGAGCCCAGAAAAACAAGATCATTAAAATCAATCCACTGAGAACAGTGACCTATCCTGCTCCAAAACCAAATTAGGGACTTTCTCAGATGAGAGGAAGCAAATTCCAGTGGGTAATGGGCAAGCGCATGCATAGGCTAGTTACTAAAATACCCTACAGTAACCTCTGCCTTGTTAGCATGGTAAAAAATCACACCTCAGGGTGGAGTCCAAACATGATAACGAGACACAGTTTGCATGAGAGACATGATGAGGAAAAGCACAGGTGCAACTGAAACTCACCTCTACACATGATGACATCAAGAAGACAGGGTCCCTGTAGATGGATCCTGTAGATGGCATCAAAGCTTGTTGCATCTTTCCCCTTTGTTTGAGTCAGTCTGGGATTTCTGTCTTCTCTGTGCCATCTCCCTTGTGCTMAAGTTAAGGATAGAAAGCCTTGTTCCTGTGCTGCTCTGCCTATGTTTGACTCTTTCTGATAGCACAAGAAACCACGGAATCAGTAACAAAGAGGTGAGGAATGAGGTCTGAGTGTTTGTCGGAGGTCAGCTGATGCACCTGCCTGTGTCTCAGGTCAATCCTATTGAGGTCACATTCAGTTCCAGTCCTGCCATGGAGTCCAGCATCCTGGCTGCAYCTGGGTATGGGCCAGGTGTTTTAAGATTGTACCCGAAGATTAGGGGGTATCAAAGGTAAACACAAATTAGAGATGAATCTCCATGCAAAAAGAGTAGATACTTCTTATTCAGGAAACCAAACAATAGAGAAGGGTGCAAACCCAAAGGGAGAGGGAGTGCAGGCCCTGGGCAATGGGACAAGTTTTGGAGGTCGTTAGGCTTCTTTCTTTGAAAGAAAACCTTGTAGGCCAGGCGAGGTGGTGCATGGCTGGCTGTGATCTCAGTTGTTCCGGAGGCTGAGGCAGGAAGGATGGCAAGTTCAAAGCCAGGCTCRGTTCACTTTTTTCATCCATCTTTGGGTGGTGGAAGATCATGAATTTGTGCCTAAACTGTGTAATGTGACCTCCCTAAATATGTGTGAGGGATGTGAGGGATGACAGGCCAGAGATCTATGGTGTTTTATATGACTAAATTGGGAGGCATTGGCAATTTTCCTCATCCATACAGATAGAAGAGGTGGACTTAMAATTGTTACATAAAACTGATTTCAAATTAGGATAGCATGCTAGGAGGAAGGCTAGGGCTGACCATGTTACCCTTCTCTGAACCTTTCTGGACACTTCCCTCATGAGCCCTCATAAAATGGTAATTCTTTTCCAAGACCACAAATCTTGCCCATTTTATGATGGTGGACAAGCCTGGCTTGTTCTGAAACAATACACTTTCCTCTGCTTTCACACACATGTACTCTGGGGAGAGGACTTTGGTGGGTTTGTGGTAAAGTAGGTACTTGTTTAGGTGGCTCTCATCATGCCTTATGGCCTCAATGTGATTGGCTTGATCCATCCTTATGGCCTGGTAACAGGCTTTGGTGAGCCTATAAACCTCTGTCACAGAGCCCCCCAGAAGGCCCCTGTGTAATACAAGTCCCCTTCATCCTCTAAAATACAGGCTTGTGACTGGGGGTTGTGTTCATAGTCAAAAAACCGCCTCTGAATGGGGAAGTAGCTAGGGCCAAACAAGGAGGAGAGGATCTCCACACCCACAAGGTCCCTGAATTTTATGTCCATATCTGCACAGACAAGATAATTCACCTCCCTGTGGAAGCGCTCCTGAGAATAATTACTGATCATTTCCATGCAGTGCATGAAGAAGTCCTGCCAGTGGGCATAGATAGCTCTGGACTTTGAGGATGACCATCTGCCTTTCTTCTTGGAGCAGGATTTGAGGAACATTGTTGGATTGGCCAGTGAAGACATAGTAGCTCACCCTGTGCCCCACCATGAAGTGTATCTCTGCAGTCTGCAGGAACACCTTCAAATAGTCTCTCTCTCTCTCTCTCTCTCTCTCTCTCTCTCTCTCTCTCTCTCTCTCTCTCTCTTATTGCAAACACAGTTAACCCAATGGTAGCATTCTGGTGTTGGAGTTGCTCATTCAGCATGTCATTGTTGAAAGTTCCCTCCCACACAATGGGGGCAAATCAAGAAGTCAAAACATGGACATCTGTCCTAGAGGGTCTTAGCACATTTGGCTGTGGAGATACCACTCTTGGTAATTTTATGACTCATGGATCATGACATTCTCTAACAACCATGCTTACCCCAGCTTGCATGCTTTTAAGGTTCTGGCTCTTTGGGTTCAAGTAATCATAACCAAAGAAGTCCAAGGCAAGAGCTATTAGGAAAAGAAATACCAGATGCACTAAGCAGCACGGCCAGTGTAGTATCCTCTGCAGCTCGGCCATGACCCCACTTCTGACTGTTGCAGCCTGGATTTCTCAGATGCTGTTAGCCACCTGCTTCTCCTTGACCATCTGCTCACAGCGGCTTCTTGGGTGAGATGAGGCAGAATATGTGGATCACAAGACACCCATGCCCCTGAGACTACCATAGTGCAAGGGGCACCTGACAGCAGTCTGGCCAGTGTCTCCCAGTGGGGCTGTCAGAACACTGGTAGATTCAGGTCTGGTTTGAGGTCATTTCCAAAAACCAGGCTGAGGACTCAGTTCACCTGCAAATAGAACTTCTGGGCCAGAGTATAGGAGAGAAGCCAGGGCTCCTGAAGCAGGCTGAGAGGCTGCTGAGCAGATGAAAGGCAGATTGTGATAAAAGCAGAAAAGGGCCTCATCAACTAGGCAGAGGGCTCGTGCTCTGGCCTGTCCTTGAAACTAGCTTTGAAACGTTTCCATTAGCACTAAGATTTTTGGAAATCCTGTAAGGTCAAGGGCAGACTGTCTTCAGTTTACATCTAGGCTGACATAGTCCATCATGTAAGAAGCCTGATCTGGGAGCCATGGTAGAAGAGACCATGGCTTTAGATCTAGGATTACTTTTCTTTATTCCCCTATTGGTCACACAAAATTTCACTGGGAATTTACTTACTAGGGCCTTGCATTGTGCTTAGAATTATGTGGATAAACTTAATTTGCTCCTCAAATACACGCATGCCCTTAAGTCCTAAGCAAGAGATATTGAACAATTACTGTGTTCCTCAATAACTTGGGCTTTACCTCCCCTGGGATAATGGGGCGTGGCTCCAGGAGTAGGTGTTACCTGGTGGGGTTGAGTTACACTCACCTGTTCCTTTGTAATCCTACCCTTTTGCCCTTTTGGGGATAGAATGTTCCCTGGAACCTCCCCTTGTGTGTCCCCTATATAAGAATAAAGAATTCCAGTGGCTCTCTCTCTCTATTTCCATGGATTCCTAAGGTCGGAGAGCCATCCCAGATTTTGAAAAGTTACTTCTGTGTGTTTGTGTGATTTCTTCGCGGTTTTCTTAAGTCATTGGAACAGTCAGATTTTGGGAACCCAGCATTAGGTCGCCAGCTAGGACAGAGGGCAACACTGTGCATTGTCCTGTTGACTCCCCAGAACAAGACTGAGCATGTATGTTAAATGATCCTCATTGCATAAATGGAGAAATAGGCTCAAGGAGTTAGGTGGTTGGAGCATGACCATATAAAAGTCAGTAAGTGCCAAAGGCCAGTAGTAATCAGCCAGACCCCCAACGTGGAATCTTGATACACAGTATTCTGATATGCTGCCTCACTTGTGTATCCTTTGGGTTTCTTTTTTTTTTCTAAGTCAGATTTTTTTTTTGTCAATATGCGCCTTAGGTTTCCATGTCAGCTGATCCTCAGTCAGATCCCTCAAGATAGGGAAGGAAATCTAAGTCTTCATTAATTTCAGACTTACCATATTGTCCACAAACATATATCCTCCTTCCATAGATCTAGGCACTTCTAGGAATGTACCTCCTGGAAGATGAAACCTTTGACTTAGATCTTGTCCCACTGTATAACCAAAAAACATGTAAAAAGGAGTCCCACCGTAGATAGAGAGCACCTGTCTCTTGCACAATGCAGCTGCTCTGTCAAATCTTGTTTCTGCCTCCTGCAGAGGAAGGCAGCCGGAGACATGTTTTGTTTTTTTCCTGGAATTCTGAAAACTCATTAAGGAAGTTTTGAGCATGACATGACCTTTCCGGACATGCTCAAATGAATATGTTTTGATATGAATGAATATGTTTTGATAAGTGTGCTTTAAAGCACTGTCATTTTTACCTTTGTGGCCAGGGTTGTGACATTTTCATAACCAGTTGTGGGTATGAATATTAACATGATCACCCCTGATCAACATGCCAATGTAGTAGCAAAATACCATGATAACTGCTATGGTTTGGATATGTTTGGACTGCCCCTCAAGTGTCCATTTTGATCTGTGGCTTGATTTCTCAAGTGGCTCTGTTGGAAGGTGGGGCCTAGTGGGAGGTCCTTAGGTCATTGGGGGTGTGCTCTTGGAAATTCTCTTGCAACACCTTGAGTTCTAGGGAAAGGATTGTCATAAAAGGACCAAACCTGTTCCCAGATGTAATCTTATGGCTCCTATGTGTGTTCCCGCCATTGCTGTCTGTCATGAAGTGATATAGCTAAGGGATGGGCCCTCACCCCAGAGCTGATGTTATTTATGCCATTTGGACTTTGAATCTCCCAAACTGTGAATTAAAAATCCTCTTTACTTCATAAGTATCCTGCATCAGATACTTTGTAATGGTGATGAAAAGATGATTAATACAACAATCTATCATATTACAAATGCCAGTAAACTGAAGAATTGCTTTGGTGGGAAGATGATGTCAGAGAATAGAGCATACACTCAATATGACTGTGAATCTTCCTGTGTGTACCTGTGCTTCTGAGCCTCTGGTGCGTGTCTGGGGAGTCTACTCATCCCAAAGCAGTGGAGGGGAGAACTGATGGCCTTTCTCATTTAAAAAAGCCATGATCCCACAATCCCCTTCAAGGGCATGCCTGCAATAGTGTCATCCTGGGGACCAAGTCTTCCACACGCACCTTGGAAGCTAGTGGAGGATATTCAAGATCCAAACCAGAGCACTGGGTACAATTTTATTTTATTTTTTTTCATGTAGAGATCCAATTTCCCCAGCACCATTTGTTGAAAGGTTGTTTTTTTTCCTGTTGAATGCTCTTTATATTCTTTTTGAAGATCATACTTGGAGCTGGGCATAGTGGCACACACCTGTAATCCCAAGGGCTCAGGAGGCTGAGGAAGGAGGATCAAAAGTTAAAAGCCAACCTCAGTAACTTAGTGAGGCTCTAAGCAACTTGGAGAGACCCTGTCTCAAAATATAAAAAGGGCTGGGGATGTGGCTCAGTGGTTGGAGTGTGCTGGGTTCCATCCCTGGTGTCCCCTCCCCACCAGAAAACATTTGTGGGATTGTTCCCAGGTTCTCAATTCTACCTCATCTGTCTATTTGTCTTTATATCAGCACCACACTCTTTCATAAGTTTGAAATTGGAATGGGTGAGACCTCCAACGTTATTTTTTTTTCCAAACCTGTTTTGGCTATTAGGGGTTCCTTGAGATTTCATATGAATTTTAGAGTAATTTTTCTATTTTGGCAAAAAAATGTGGTTGAAGATTTTGATAGAGATGCATTGAATGGAGATATATATATATTTAATGGAGATATATATATATATATATATATATATATATATATATTTGCATTTATGTGTTTTCTTTAAGCAAGGTTTATACATTTCACTATATGAGTCTTTTGCATCATTTAAGTATTTTTTGTTGCTATGGTAAGTAGTTGTTTTCTTATATAACACAGTGAATTTTACATTGTTAGTATTTAGTAATGCAACTGATTTTATGTTTTTTTTTTTTTTTTTTTAACTTTTTTTATAGAGAGAATTTTTTTTAACATTTATTTTTCAGTTTTCGGTGGACACAACATCTTTTATTTTTATGTGGTGCTGAGGATTGAACCCAGCACCCTGCACATGCCAGGTGAGCGCGTTACCGCTTGAGCCACATCCCCAGCCCCATGATTTTATGTTTTGATTTCATATCATGCAACTTTTTATTAGTTCATTTTAGTTAGACATAATACTAGGGTGCATTTGGGTATAATTATGCAAGCATGGAATATAATTTGCTCTAATCCAGTGTCCAGTCCTTCTCCTCTCTCTCCTCTCCTTTACTGATCTTTATTCTGTTTATTTATAGTTTTTAAAAAATTAGTGCTGTGGTGGTTTAGATGTGAGGTGTCCCCTAAAAGCTCAAGTGAATGCAAGAAGGTTCAGAGGAGAAATGATTGGGTTGTAAGAGTCTTAACCCAATCARTGAACTAATCCCCTGATGGGGCTGAGAACTCACCTAGCATGTGCGAGGTCCTGGGTTTGATCCTCAGGATTACATAAAAATAAAACAAAGCTTAAYCTCCTGATGGGGATTAACTGTGGTAACTGAAGTGGTGGGGTGTGGCTGGAGGAGGTGGGAATTGGGGGCATGGCTTTGGGGGTATATATTTGTATCTGGCAAGTGGAGTCTCTCTCTGCTTCCTGATCACCATGATGTGAGCTGCTTCCCTCTGCCACACTCTTCCACCATGATGTGCTGTCTCACCTCAAGCGCTGAGGAATAGAGCCAGCCTTCTGTAGATTAAGACCTCTGAAAATATCGTGAGCACTCAGATAAACTTTTCCTTCTGTGAAGTTGTTCTGGTTGGGTCTTTAAGTCACCGCAKTGAAARAGCTGACTGAAGCAAGTGCYTTGTGGAAAACCTGAAGGTGAGATTCGCTGTGGTATATTCATATATGGACATGGAAAAGTGAGGTCAGATTMATTCCAGGCTTCTTTCCTTTTTCCATTCCTCCTCCTTCCCCTTAGTCCCTTCTTCTAATCCACTGACCTCTTTCTTCTTTTCATGGAATTCCCTCTCCACATTTTCTTTTTCCTTTCCCTCCACCCCTTATTTTGGTCCAATTTCCACAGATCAGAGAAAACCTTTGACCTTTAACTTTCTGTGTCTGGCCTATTTCACTTAGCATGATTGTCTCCAGTTCTATCCATTTATTGGCAAATGCCATAATTTCATTCTTCTTTATGCCTGAGTAATACTCCATTGTTTAYATATGCCACATTTTCTTTATCCATTCCTTTGTTGACAGGCACCTAGGCTAATTCCATAGCGTGGCTATTGTGAATTACATTGCTAAAACATTGATGTGCCTGTGTCACTGTAGTATGCTGATTTTAAGTCCTTCGGGCATATACCAAAGAGTGGGATAACTGGGTCAAATGGTGGTACCATTCCAAGTTTTCTGTGGACTCTCCATCCTGCTTTCCAGAGTGGTTGCACTAATTTTCATGAAAATTTTCTGCATTTGTATATTGYTTCTAACAGGATTATTGTGTGTAGAATCATTATTTG